AATGTAAACACACATTCAGCTGGACTGTAAGCAATGAGTGGCAAAGCTATTTTCAAGCCACAGTAAAGTTACTCAGTTTATCTTGAGCTTTGAGTGATGGTGTTGATAACCTGTCGCCATGAAGTAAATACCGATGACGTGAGGCTGTAATCACCAGGTGAGTAGTGTCAGGTCATGGCAGTTTGCCTTCTGAAGTGACATGTGATTAACCCCTGAAATAAGCTTATGTTCATGGCACAAACTTCAGGCAGAGGCAAGGTAGTGCCCTGACTGCCTGATGTGTCTGGGATGGCAAGTGAGCCACAACTTACTTAATGGTAAAAAGAATGCAACTAGTTTTATTTCTCACACTAATTCTCTGCTGTGAACATGCACAAGGAGTGACTTGGATATGTTTCTGGATCTTATTTAACAATATGTTTAGTTAATTGTGATAAGCATTTACCTGCATGGTTTTATTAATTGGAACTACAGTAAAAACACAGGAATCATACTTTCAAAGTCCATGTAAAAGATGAAAACAGGAATTAAAAACAGGCTAAAAATAGGCTGAGTTGTATGCAGCCTTATAAGAAGAGTAACATTCACTGAACTAATGCAGAAAGAAGAAGAAGAAGAAAGGGTCTGGGGAAAGCATTTGACATTGGAAAAAATATTTTTCTAACCACAGTACATGGCAGCCACCAACAGGCAGCTGACTTCCTGCTGCAAGTTTCCACCAGCTTTCTTTCCATGGCAAAATGATGTCATTTGTCGTAGAGCGGTGGGCCAGAATGTGTGCTGCCAGATTTAGGTATATTTCTTCACCATACGCCCTCCCCTCATTCCCTGGCTTGAGCCGCAGTACGTGAGGCGACACCCACCTCGGCTGCAGTCGTCTAAATCACTGACCCTGACACTCTTCCCCGGGCTTAGCCAGATTTCAGCAGAGACTGTTTGGAAAAGATGCTGGCATTTTTCAGCACTCTTGGAGAGCATTCCTCTCCTGTTGAGTCACTCCCTCCAAAAAAAGACGGAGATGGGGGTTATTTTGTACATAAAAAATGTTCTGGGGTTGTTTTTCTTACTATTACAGACACGGTCTTTGGAGGAAAATAAAGAATCAGGCAAACTCAGCTGCGGTGTTGACCCTGTCATTTAGCCGCCACCATGCAACAACCTCTCACCCTAACCAAAACTATTTGAAACAACTGTCATTTACATACATTTGCATATCTGCCAAGATATTGTGTTCCTTGATGACTATATCTGTCAGCCCGTGCCATGTAACAGGATAGTTCTGAACTATTTACACATTGAACAGCAGGTTTGTGGGGAAACAGCTGCCAAGGGTTATGTGATATCACTGAGCCCCAGGAGGCTGAGAAGGCACGTCCTGGGGCTACACAGAGGCACAGAAGTGATACTCTAAAAGATGAGGAAAATGCTCTGTTTGAAGCCACGCCTGCCAGGGTGGGGTTAACACAGGGTAGGTCACACAGAGGAGCTTCAGGGAGCTTTGGGAGTATCTGAGTATAATATAGGTCTTCTCCTAGTGGCCTTGGATGCCTGTACTCTGTGCCTACTAACGGTTAGCTTGGGTAACTG